GATGGAATTATGAACTGAAGGTCAGCAGTTAAGCGTTTTCTTCCTTATGTTCATCTCACCAGACTTCAGAATCAAATGTCTTTATATACCATATTATAGATCACAGATCTTTACATCACAGGCACTGGGGGCCATTCAGGTTGCCCAGGGCTCCTAATTCCCTATCAGTGGTCTTCTGTCCTTTCTCAGTATTTGTGTTGATTTTACAAATTGTGACATTTTTCAAACACACAGTAAAAGAGGAGTGTGCCTACAAGCCAGACTTATGTACCCAGATGCTAATATCTATGTTTTCTACACTTGTTTCAGATCCCTTTTGTATTTGAACATTTAAAATTAATTTTTAAGTTTTACACATTTATAAATTAAAAAAAAAAAATTAGACCATAGCAGAGGTGTAAATCAAGTAGTAGTGAAGAGCAGAGGGTTGCCTCTGGGTAGAGAGGACACAAAAGGGCTGAAGAGGAAACAAAGCACTTCAGCAAAGCCTCAGCAAGCAGAGATGACAGGATGGCGACAAACAGACCAAAATAATGACCACACTGAATTTTACAGCAGAGAGGGATCTAGGAGCTCAAACAATACAACAGCTTCATGCCGAGTTAGCAGACTAGCAAAGAACACCAAAATGGCAATCAAGAGTCATGGGTAGTACCATCTCCAGCACTCACGTAAACACAGCTGCTTTATGATGTTTATTAAGAAGTTCAAAACACCAAGCAGTACTGTAAGATTTATAATGAAAATGGGCAGTTTGTTACTTTCCCTTTCTTCAGGCTTCACTAGAAGTTTCCACCAGATATAAAGGATTTCAAAGGTTCCAAAAGGAAAAAAAGTCACAAGTAAAATAAAAAACGATACCAGGCTTCTCAACAGCAACACTGGAAACGAGAAGACAATGCACAGTGCTTTCAGAATTATGATGGAAAAGATTTTAAGTGTAGAATGTTATACATAATACTTCAGCACTTCCTAAAAAGAATTATGAAGTTCCTGGCTTTCAGGGACTGAGATGTCTTTCATGCTAAAACTTTTTGGAATAAAGCCCTTTTTCTTGTGGGTAACTGTGTTACACTGCGTTAATCTTCAGAGTGAATTTATAAGAATTCCTAAATTAAATAATGGTTCCTAAATCAAATTCTAGGTGAATTTCTAGTACACTTGATATATTTGGAATAGGCTCCTTCATTTATGGTGAGGCGTGCTGTTCTTTTCATTAGTACCCCTCCCAAACTTGGAATTACTTGGGACCTGTTATCCTACCTGTTCAATTCTGGGGAGCAGCTAGGTGGGGGAAGGGATGGGAAAGCGCAAAACAAGACGTACAGCACATGCCCAAGGACTGTCTTCTCTGACTTGCTCTCACCATATGATTTATAATAAGAGTCAAGACTAAATCCCACACTGAAGACAGAATACTAAATACCTCCACTGTCAGTTATATAACAACAACCAGAAATTCTCACCTTGGTTTTGCTAGGCATTTATATATAAAGTTAAGCTAAAGAATTAGTAGGGAGTTGATTTATAATTATATGATTAATAGCACTATCATAATAGTTATTTCTTCCTCAGAGAAACTCTCTGTTAGAGCAATTGTCTATTTTGGAATGTCTAAAGAACAGAGAGGTTATGTATTTTGACCAAACAGTTGTATCCTTACTGTTATCTTTCCATATTACTAGAGTAATTTAAGTATCCTAAAAAGAGATTCTGTACTCATCTTTTTCAAATTATATTTTTAACAGTTGTTATTACTCTTAATAGGTAGAATATTCATTTCATTTATTAGCAACAATAACAAAACTACAGACATCCACAATTATATATGAAAATACAGACATTTTGATAAAACATTTTATTGCCTTATCATTTTTTTTTAAATAGTAAGAGATGTCATTGGTATATTTT